CCCAGATTAAATAAGCGGGAGTGGCTACCTCTCAGGCCCTGGTCCTGTCATTTGGCTTAGGAAAAATACAAATCAGACAATACACTAATGGCTCCTACAGCCAGAGTTCCTTTTAAATCCAACCGTTCACTGCCAATTTGCATTTTTTTTACTGTGTGGGCATCGGAATGAGCCCCCGCACCGTGAGAACAAACGTCCCAGCTCTAAAGCCAATTTTCATCTGCGTACGTCTAGGGATGGGTACCTTTGACATTTGAATCAATTCGGTACTAATTCCCGGTACCTACGAATCGATACCGGTACTTAACGGTACCAATTTTCGATACTTTTGAGTGTTTAATATTTTAATTCTCTTTTATAATTAAATATATATTTTTCTCAATTTATAACCATAATTGATAAATATCACGATAAATAACATTAACATCGTCCTTGTAGTTTTATAAGCTGATAATTAAACTGAAGCAAACATCTTTACTGTGAACTAAATTTACTGTGTATCTTCATTCCTTTTGCCATCTTTTTTCAATTGATTTTTCCTACTGGGAAGTCAGAATTTCCGAGGAGAAAGCGAACGCACCATTATCTGATAACAATGGTGGCATAGGAAGCTAACATATCAAGCTACGTTATCTTAAAACGATGATGCCTCACACTTAAATCGTTGTCACTGGTTTCGTCTTCACCCATTCACCCGTCGCATTTAGTAAAGTGAAGCCAAACTTTCGTGCGCGTTCATGTTCTTCTAGTCGGAATTTCAGAGCTCCGAGGGGAAAGCGAACGCACCATTAGTGAAACGGAAGCTAAAAAATCAAGCTAATGTTATCTTACATTTTATTTACCTACCGGAGCAGATTAAGATGAGGATGTCTCACTTAGATCGTTGTCGCTGGTTTCATCTTCACCCAGTTACCCAACACATTTAGTGAAGTGGACCCAAGCTTTAGCGTGCGTTCTTTCTACCATGCTGCTCTGTTTACAACTCACTCGCAGCGACCGATGACACAACGCTCTTGCGCATGCGCAGCTGTCTAGGCAAGTTCTTGTTGTGAAGGACGGGTACCGAAACGAGGCACCGTTTCAAATGAAGTGTATCGGTGCTCGTTCGGTACTGTGGAATTCGGTCGGTACCTCAAAAAGTACCGAATTCGATACCCATCCCTACGTACGTCACACGTCACGTGATCAGGAAGCAGAAATCCATGTGTTAGGAGATCGTTTTGGGCCGCTGCTGTTAACAAAATGAGGCGCGAACCTCTGCTGATCACAATTCAACAACGGATTATGAAAGAACTGATAACGCTCGAAACACGTGGATTCTTCCTGATGTAAGAGGTGAGTCTCCTCTTTATTTTGGTTTTTTGACATCGACATCATCATAGTGCACAACGTTCTGTGACTCTTAAAAAAAACAGTAAAAACACTGAAAAACACTGGCAGCGAAGGGCTTTACCGATCAGGAAACGGCTGGCAGTGAATGAGTTAAGAACACCACATCTCATGAAAAGAAGAAATCACTGACCCCGTATATCAAATCAAATTGTGATAATCGACTCTAATTCTTGAGAATTGGAATCGAATCAATTCTTGAAATTTGAATTGATGGAATAGAATAGACTTTATTTCACAGTGGAGAAATGTGCTTGTTACAGCTGCACCAACACTTGAAAGAATAATTAGAAGAATAAATAGTAGCAAAGGTACATGTATGTACTTGAGCTGTACGATTTTGACCAAAACTCAAATTCAAAGATACTTTATTAATCCCAGAGGGAACACATGACAAGAATTGGTGACTGTGGTCATTCGCAACCCTGAGTCGCGCTACCTTAATATAGATCAGAGGGTTACATGAGGATTGGTTCAGGTAGAGGGGAAAAAAAGGCACTTCAGAGTAACCCTCCACCAGGAGGGCAGCTTTACTCTGCAAAAAAAAAAAAAAAAAAAACCACCTCAGACAGATATGCAACAGACTTCAGACATCACACAACATAAGTGTCCACTAGGTGGGCTGGTGGGTCTGGGACTATCCACGCTTCGGTTCCTGCAGCCACTACAAGCAGCGCATGTCACCTCAGTCTGAAAAGGGGGAGGAGCATTGAAGGTTGGAGGGTTGCAGTGACCCTGGAACGATTCGGCGGCCTTCCTGCAGTTCCGCCCAGGCTGGGATAGGAGACAGAGATGAGTTGCCATAGCGACGGCACATTCCACATATCTTCTGAGGGGGGAGTTTTCTTTGGAGCCTTGCAGGCTCAAAGGCACCAGATTCCAATTAGAAATTGTTATGGGGCCAGACAGAGATAATTTCCTCTCTGTCTTACAGTTTGTTGGTCCTCAGCCTCTCAAAATCCCAGTAATGGACATTAATCCATCCCAATCCATGCCGATTCGTCCACTCTATCCTTGATGGCATCCATCTTTTGTGCCAATGAATGAATCTTGGCCAAATTTCCAAGCTTACGATTCATCTTGACAATTATGTGAGTCTGTGATTTCACAGCACGGTGCAAACCATCTCTAAACTCTGGGAGCAGGCCAATATTCCTCAACAGTTTGTTAATTTTCCGGTAAGCCAGGAAGCCTCAAGGCCAGTGAGCAGGAAACCTGACACCAACACCACCAATATCCTCACGTCTTCAGAGTCCTCCACAGACAGCTGAGTTAAACAGATCAAGTTCCACTGTTTCCAGGAGTCCATGACATGTCCAACTGGGTCTGTCCCGGTGGGGCATCCGGGAACCCCTTGTCCCATTCTCATCAATGAAAAAATGTTATCAGTCGCGTTGTGACCAACTGACGAGGTCCATTTTAGTGATTTCAGTTTCCAGTTTCCAGAAAAAATGCAGAAGCAGCCGTGCACCCAGCACACAGAGACAAAGGGCCTTGAGGATAAGATATGGAGGAGAGGAGGAAAAAAGCGTCTGCACCCTCGGAGAGCCGGAAGAAGAATAATAATCATGATTATTTTTGGTCAATATTGTAATCATCATCATTCATCCTATCTCGTAAAACATGTTTTTATTGCACCCATTGCAAACAATGTTGCTACATTTTTCAGTGAAAAATGAAACTTTAGAATAGATTATAAATAATGCTAAACCGCTTAAAAACTCCATACTTTAATATGTGAAAGTGCTAGCTAAATATGTTATTGCAGAGAGCAATCTCAAAGTGCAACAGAAAGAGTTACAGCTTATACAGAAAAGACCTGCGTAGAGTTTGACGCCTCCTGCGTAGGGTTCGTGGCCTTCCGCGTAGGGTTCGTAGCCTCCTGCGTAAGATTCGTGGCCACCTCCTGCTACTTGTTGCTTATTTGTTTGTGGAGCTGGTGGTGAGAGGCAGCTGATAATCAGGGGTTCATCTGGGGATAAATCTGGGTGTCGTGGGGGTAATGAATAAAAAGGGTCAATTTTCACCATCAAATTGACACGGTAACCTTTCATACACACCAGAGCTGCAAAGTCGAGGTTACACCAGCTGGAGGATTCAGACGCACTGATCAATCTTTTGCTCACTTATTGTTCTTCAACGCAGACATGAATAAACTGCCAAGGTCTCCCACAAAAACCTTATCTCTGCTTAAAGTCACACTGCTGGATTCCTCACTCTGAATAAAAGTGAATCCGCACGAATCCTACAAGGCTTTTACAACTTATGATATAAATAATCACATGTGATGAATGAACAAGATGTTTACATCAAATGTTTGAATAACCTGTGCTTAAATCAATGAAAATGAAATTAATTTTGTTCTTACAATGATCCATTTATATCACTAATCACTGTGTTTGATTTAACAAGTTAATCATTATCTACACTCTTACACATCTTCATAAGATACAAGTTAAGGTTAAGGTTCACCTCACATAACGTTTAAAGATTCTTTATTCACACAATTAAGAATCTTGTATCTGAAGGAAGGCGTGGCTTTCTGAGGAATGTTTTGGTAAAGCCTTCCAGACATGGCACCTTCTGATTTGCCAGAATGGCCGGAAGTCATAACATTGTGGTTTATTAAAACAAGAATTACTTCCCGATTAATTCGGTTTCCAGCTGACTCCCGATTCGGCCAAATCGGGAAAGAAGCCTCTTTTGAAACAATCTCCTTTGACCTTAAGTCAAAACCCTTCTGCGACGCTGCAAGTGATTACAGACACAACAGCTCTTTCAGAGCTACTTCAACTCTGACATCCACCTTGGACACCTAACCTGCAGACCCCAGGTTGCATCTCATGGCCGGGGAAGCTGAACTCAGAGGAAGCTACTAATCTCTTGAGTATCGTGGTTTTGACGTCCGGTGACCTCACCACTCTGACCGCAACCCTCCACACCGCCGGGAGCAACTCATACAATGGTATTGTAAGCCTGCATACTGGTGTCTGATGAGGTTTATATCAATAAATAACTCTTGTTTACAAAAACAACAAATTCTTTTACACCCAGCATTCACAATTGTAGTACATGAAGGGATGGACATGGTCAGAAACAATGCTAAGGTAGCCTGTGGCATTTAAACCATGCCCAGTTTGCACTAACTGGCCTAAAGTGTGCCAAGAAAACCTCCCCTACACCGTTACACCTCCACCACCAGCCTGCATGATGGATCCATGTTCTCATTCCATTCACGCCAAATTCTGACTCTACCATCTGAATGTCTCAGCAGAAATGGAGACTCATCAGACCAGGCAACATTTTTCTAGTCTTCAACTGTCCAGTTTTGGTGAGCTGGTGCAAACTGTAGCCTCTTTTTCCTATTTGTAGTGGAGATGAGTGGTACCCGGTGGGGTCTTCAGGTGTTGTAACCCATCCGCCTCAAGGTTGTGCGTGTTGTGGCTTCACAAATACTTTGCTGCGTTCCTCGGTTGTAACGAGTGGTTATTTCAGTCAAAGTTGCTCTTCTATCAGCTTGAATCAGTCGGCCCATTCTCCTCTGACTTCTAGCATCAACAAGGCATTTGGCCCACAGGACTGCCACATACTGGATGTTTTTCCCTTTTCACACCGTTCTTTGTAAACCCTGGAAATGGTTGTGGGTGAAAATCCCAGTAACTGAGCAGATTGTGAAATACTCAGACCGGCCCGTCTGGCACCAACAACCATGCCACGCTCAGATTAGCTTAAATCACCTTTCTTTCCCATTCTGACCTTCAGTTTGGAGTTCAGGAGATGGTGTTGACCAGGACCACGCCCCTAAATGCAGGGTGGTAGAGACGTATGGAGACGGTCGTTCTGAGACATGAGACTGTGTGTTTTTGGTGAACATTAATGCAGGAGTGTGTAAAACAGCTCATGTTTAATTAAAATTAAATAAAATATTTATTTAACTTGACATGAATTGTAATGCTTGACTGTTGTGCTACAGCCATGGGAGGAACATTTTGGGTCCCAGCCAGATTCTCTGCTTCCCTGCTGCTCTCTCCATCATCATGCTGCTCCTTGCTCTGCCTCTCCACTTGTCTCTCCTTCACTCACCTCCTCCACTTCAGCCTACTTGTCTAATATATTAGCCACATGTTAGATTCCCTTCAATCACCAATAGGAACGTTGGGAATATCACACGTATCACGGTACAGATCACTCAGAGGGAACTGGGTCACGATAAAGAACAATGAGCATCTTCATCTAACGTTACCTCAACATCTTCCTCGGCTTCCTTCCTCTTCTTCTGAAAATGCGAGCAGAAATGAGTCTCGGTGGGAACATGACCCGACATGAAGCTGTACGCTGTTACCGATCTGGAATTACGCATTAACGACAGACCACATTGACTACGTTACTGTTCACATGTAGCAGCGTGCGTTAGCATGAAGCTGGTTTTCACAGGTCTGAACTAAAAATGCCTTCTTCTAACGTAAGGTTCCTTTCTTCCACCTTTTCTCTCCCTGTAGTTTTCTTTAACTCGTGAGAGCAGCGCACCGCACAGAAGCCGGCTCCTTCGCACACGGGGAAAACTGCAGTACTGGTTTTTCAAAGTAAAATACATTTTAAAGTTTTGTTATATTTAAATTCATTTTAAACTGTGATAATTCATTCTCTGTAGTTTTGTGTCAGTTTAAGGAAGAAGGAAGAGCTCCTGAAGAACTGAGGCCTCCTTTGAACCAGAAGGACATGGAGCCCCTCAACATGAAGCAGGAAGAGGAGGAGCAGCTTGATGAGATTAAAACTGATGCCACCAACATTTCATTCTCTGCAGTTTCTCATCAGGTTAAGGAAGAAGGAAGAGAAGTTCTGTTGTCACAGTTTGATCAGAACCAACCTAAAGACAGAGATCTTCCAACCAGCAGCACCACTGACCAGATGAAAGCAGAAAGTGGTAGAGAGGATTATGGAGGACCAGAAACTACCAGGAATCCAGATGTAAATCTTTATGAATATGATTCTAACTCTTCAGAGACTGAAGTCAGCAATGATGAAGATGATGACCAGGATGGCAACGATTCTGACTGTCAACTGAAACTCTTGTCAGATTCTGAGCCAAACACCAAAGATCATAACAAAGACTGGAAGGAGAGCAGGTCTTCTAAATCACATGTTAAGGCTGTCAAATCTTTCAGCTGCCCAGAGTGTGGTGAACAGTTTCTCCATGAGCGGTCTCTCCAGAAACACATGAGAGTGACAAGTCATTCAGGACTGAAGTCTTCAAGCTGTTGTGTTGATAAGAAACGTGTTAGAGTGAAGCAAAATGTAGACTCTAGCAGGAAAGTTCAGACAAAACTAAAATCATTTAGTTGTGACAACTGTGGAAAAAGTTTCAGCTGCATATCATATTTAAACATTCACATGAGAATTCACACAGGACAGAAGCCTTTTGCTTGTGAGCTCTGTGAAAAAAGATTTAGTGATAAGTCAAATTTAAACAGTCACATGAGAGTCCACACAGGACAGAAGCCTTTTGCTTGTGAGCTCTGCGGACAAAGATTCACACACAAGGGAACTTTACACAGACACATGAGAGTCCACACAGGACAGAAGCCATTTGCTTGTGAGCTCTGCGGACAAAGATTTAGTCATAAGACAAGTTTAAACAGTCACATGAGAGTCCACACAGGAGAAAGGCCTTTTGCCTGTAAGCTCTGTGGAAAAAAGTTTAGTCACAAGACGCATTTTAACAGACACACTAGAGTCCACACAGTACAGAAGCCTTTTGCTTGTGAGCTCTGTGGACAAAGATTTACCCAAAAGGAAACTTTAGACACTCACATGAGAGTCCACACAGGACAGAAGCCTTTTGCTTGTGAGCTCTGTGGACAAAGATTTACTCAAAAGTCAAGTTTAAACTTTCACATGAGAGTCCACACAGGAGAGAAGCCTTTTGCTTGTGAGCTCTGCGGACAAAGATTTAGTCATAAGACAAGTTTAAACTGTCACATGAGAGTCCACACAGGACAGAAACCTTTTGCCTGTGAGCTCTGTGAAAAAAGATTTAGTGTAAAGTCAAGTTTTAACAGTCACATGAGAGTTCATACGGGACAGAAGCCTTTTGCCTGTGAGCTCTGCGGACAAAGATCTAGTCATAAGACCAGTTTAGACACTCACATGAGAGTCCATACAGGACAGAAGCCTTTTGCTTGTGAGCTCTGTGGACAAAGATTCACACGCAAGGGAAATTTAGACACTCACATGAGAGTCCATACAGGAGAGAAGCCATTTGCCTGTGACTTATGTGAAAAAAGATTTAGTGTAAAGTCAAGTTTAACCTTTCACATGAGAGTCCATACGGGACAGAAGCCTTTTGCCTGTGAGCTCTGTGGACAAAGATTTACCCAAAAGGGAAACTTAGACACTCACATTAGAGTCCACACAGGACAGAAGCCTTTTGCTTGTGAGCTCTGTGGACAAAGATTTAGCTATAAGACAACTTTAAACAATCACATGAGAGTCCACACAGGACAGAATTAATGAACATAAATAAAATATATATTTTGGGACTTCTAAGGGTGTTGAATGAAATGTGCTACTGATCTGGAAGCTTTTTTAACTAAAATGAAAGGCAGCAGTTTTATTAAATGTTGTGTTTTTGGAGAAGAAAAGGTTGAAAATGAAATTTTTGTTTGCCACTAAAGTGTTTTATTAAATCTCTTTGTTCACTATTCAGTTTGTTGTTCGCTGTTTCTGGAGTTTAAACGTAAATGCTGATGTTTTGCAAAGTGAGAAGGCTCGCCATCAAAGTCACCAGATTAATCCACTCGTGTAATTATCTGTCATGCAAATAAACCTGATCAAAAAGTAATACCTAAATTATCCATATTGTTTGACATCCAAATACAATTGGAAACTCGGATTCACAGTTAGCAAAAGTATAAATTTGGTTTTCTCAAAAATCATACTTTACAGTATTTCATTTTTAATTAGTTTTTTTAAGTAAATATTGCTTTCGCGTGTCCTTGATTGCATTACCTAACTTATTCCATATTTCAACTCCATATATAGAGACAAAGCACTCCTTTATAATTATTCTGTGCTTAGGTATTGTAAATAATTCATGTCCTTTTAGTTCATATTTACTGTCTTTTTATAAATCTAAGTAAATTTTTAGGAAGGGTTTTTTTGTTTGCATTATACATTTAGAAATATTGTAGTCCACTAGGTTTAATGTTTTTACTTCTTGTAATGATTCTTATTGCTTTTTTTTTTGCAACATATAGATAGAATTTGTATAAGTTTTATATGTTGTGCCCCAGATTTCTATACAATAGTTCAAATGTGGTGCAATAAGTGAATTATGTAAAAAATATAGGGAGCTATCATCCAGTGACCATTTTACTCTATGTAACATTGCAATTGTTTTAGCTATTTTAGTTTTCACATTGTTTATATGTGGCTTCCAAGATACATTTTCATCGATTATAACTCCCAAAATCTTTACTTCTTTTACCCTTTTAGTAAAAAAATGGAATGCACAATATCAACTTCCGGGGTTCCTTTTTAAAATGTTTTTCTTTTTTTTATATTCTCCCTGTGATTGATTGATTTTCAACTGTTAGTTCTAGGAATTTTGTTGTTTTTCCTTTTTATCTTTTATCTCTGTTCTACATGACTGTCTACGCCGGTTTAATTAACTAACATTTTTAGTGTACAGCGCCTTGTTTGGTTGTAATGCCTTGTTGAATGCGCTTTATAAATAAAATGGTATGGTATTAATATCATCTATATTTAATAGACTTGTATCATTTTAGTTACTTTTACTAAATATAATGAAACATGATTTATCAGTGTTTAATGAGTTTATTCCCATCAAGCCATAATTTTATTTTTTTCATCTCACCTTGTACTGTTTCTACCATCTGTTTGATTTTATCTCCTGCATAATAAAAGGTAGTGTCGTCTGCAAATAGAATACATTTGAATATATTTGATATAGAGGTAATATCATTTATATACATAATAAATAGTTTCGGACCCATTACTGACCCTTGTGGTACCCCACAAGTAATATCACGTAGATTTGATTTAATGTCATTTATTTGTACATATTGTTTCCTGTCCTTCAAATAACTTGTTAACCATTTTAGAGCCATTGCTTTGATACCATGTTTACTACGTTTTTTTTTATGACGAATGTCATGATCTACTGTATCAAACGCTTTTTTTAAATGAATAAAAATACTTATGAAATGGTTCTTTTTGTCAGTGGCTTCTGATATTTCTTTTTTTTTTTTTTTTTACCGTGTCCTGTCTGGCTGTGAAGCAAACAGAATTGATGTCTGAATGCTGGTAACAAGCCTTACAGATTTACTCTCAGGTGGAGCATCAAAACGTCTGCTTTTAATGTCACGCCTGATACTTAAAACTTTATTGTTATTGTTTTTGAATGCTTTGTAATTCCGACCAGACACGGAGACAGAGGTGAAAGACAAAGGAAAAGACAAAAGGTGGGGAGAGGGGGGAAGGGGGTGGGGGGTTCCACAAAAATTAACAAAAATTAACAAGTCTGCTTCTAGACCTGCAGAAAGAGAAAGAATAGGGCAGATGTGGAAAGTAACGAATTACATTTACTTACGTTACTGTAATTGAGTAGCTTTTTTGTATATTTATACTTTTTAAGTCGTTTTTAAAAGCTGTACTTTTACTTGGGTAAGTTTTTAAAAAAGAATTGTAATTCGCTTCATTTTAAATCATATCTGTTACTGAGTAAAAATAAATTATAGGCTTAATAAATTAAAAATATTACGTGTAGGAGCGTCGGAACGGAAAGAGACGCCTGCATGAGCGCCGCGTCTAAACCGTGGGGGGGGGGGGGGGGGGGGGGGGGTTTACACTTTTGCTCAAAGACATCAGTTCAGTTCCTCAACTCGCTGTTTACCTCCTCTCTCCCTCCTCTCCTGTGGGTTGGAACCCGCACCTTCGCGCACCGGTGTGACGTCATCAGAAATCTGCTCGGTTCGGTAGCCGGACTCGGTTCCGTGTTTGAAACGTGTTTCCGTACCGCTCCGCATGGCAGCAGCAAAATAACGTTCAGCGCTCATAACAAGCGGATTATCAGCGCTTTGCTCATAAAACAGAAGACCTGCAGGCCTCCGTGAGTTAAAACATCCTGATACTGTTCAGGTGTAAACGTTGTGCTCCATCCCTGTGTCTGAACTCAGAAGATGCTTCTTGATGCCACAGATATGTGATGATTTAGCTTGTTTCTTTATTTTACTCCAGAATAAGAGATTAAATTATTACTGAAGCAGTTCAATGTAGTTAAATTAGTCATTCACAAGTTTCTAACATGCTGCAGTGTGTGTGTGTGTGTGTGGGCGCGTGCATGTGTGTGTGTGTGTGTGTTACACATATAGGACTGCATGAGACAGCGTGGCTTCATCAAATCAATGCATCTTATATCTTGGCTGCAGTAATGGCTCAGGAAAATTACTTCTATTTCATAAATAATGACGTCTTAATAGTATCTTCAATAATGTTTTATCTTTGGTCTGGGGGGGGGGGGTAACTTATCATGATACAAGCCTTTTAAAACATGTTTAAGTGTTACAAGAGGAGATGAATGCATGAATTTAAAGTTCATGTTTGGAGACCAACCTTCACAGTTTGGAGGCTCACGCTGGTGAGGAGACACCGTTAGTTCTAGTAACACCTGGGCTCCCAAGGCCTGTTCTGACAGGATGGACGTTACGGGACCCTTAAGGATTCCAGTTGGATGATTGGAAGATTATTTAGGAGGATTGGAATGAACAAACTGGTTTCAGTGGTGAAGGGTTAAATGAGTGGGTGAACCCACTACCAAGGATGAACTCTGCTAACTTTAAAACTCAGCTGCTCTAAATAAGCATGAAGGTCAGAGAGGAGCTCTAGGATGGACATGGATAAAGGAACTGTAATGTAGAGGTAAAGTAGGGCAGGGCCGACGTTAGCAGCTGTCATACGGTCCATCTGACATGTTTGACTGCATTAGGCTTGTTATGTGACAGGTTAGAGCACAGCCTCATGTTAGAGTTTAGTCATGAGAACATTGAGATACCTCACATGCTGATGGCGTCTAAAAATTAACTTTTTCTTTTGTTCAAAATAAAGAATAATTTTAATCACAATTGAAACTTACCATCCTAGAAAAATCTCGTCCAATCAATGTGAACGTCCTGTTCTCACTGATTGGATAGAAATCCCTCCTTCAAGCTGTGCGTGTTTGAGTGTGTGTGTGTGTGTGTGTGTGTGTGTGTGTGCGTGCGTGCGTGCGTGCGTGCGCACACACGAGCGAATTGTGAACTGGCGTTGTGATTTAGCACTACTTACCCCGGCTTTCCACGGGAGCCGTCAGCAGCACGTTACTGCAGCAGCACATCATAGCTGCTGATAGGAACCGCTGTGGTCAACAGAACCTTTTCCACGGGAGCCGTCAGCAGCACGTCATAGCTGCTGATAGGAACCGCTGTGGTCAACAGAACCTTTTCCACCGGAGCCGTCAGCAGCGCGAGTCGGCCGCGTCTCAGGAGCAGCATGTGGCGGCCTTTACACGCCGGTTCTATTTTCTGCGTGCGACACCTCTGAAATGGGTCAAGTTCAACATTTTTGGGGAAGGAAAGACAGGAAATCGGACGCGGAAATGGAGAGAAGCTCCCGAGATTTTCTGAATAAAGAAACGTACTGCCTTCCGTTTGCTTTACTTTTAAGAAAAGTTACTAACTGTGCGTCCCCGTGAGGAGTTATCACCTAGCTAGCAGTCTCCTTTGTTTTTCAGGTCCGTATTGGCGATTATACAATGGACAGAACATAAAACACAAACCTTTTGGAGCCATGTTGTAGTTTTCTCCTGCTTGTTGCTGTGTTTACTGACGAAGTCACTCGTGTGACTTCGTGCTCGGTCGGTGACAGCTATTCCCCTGCTGCTTCGCGTCTCGTGGGAAGGGCCAAGCAGCAGCTTACGCGAGCAAGATGTGCTGCTGCAGTAACATGCTGCTGACGGCTGCTGTGGAAACCCGGGGTCAGATGTAGCCATCCTTACGCTGAAAAAAATGTAACTAAGTAACTTTTACTTTGAGTACATTTTGCTTGCGATACTTTTTACTTTTAATTGAGTAAAAATTTAGGCAAGTACTTTTACTTGTAATTGAGTAAAAACTTATCAAAGTATTGGTACTCGTACTTAAGTAGGAAATTTTTGTACTCTTTCCACCTCTGGAATAGGGAAAAAGTGGGACACACAACAATACATCAGGAGCAAGCTATCACTGCGTCAACCTGATGGTGAAATATAAAATCAACATTGTTTAACTGAACAATCGCACGATGATAAATCATAGTACATTTAGTGGCAACGACGTGCCCAAGCCCATACTTTTGAGTGCACCATGTGAGCACCTGTGTGTGTACACGCGCTTGTTTATGTAAGGTTTCTCAATAGGAGCGCCCAACAGAGAGTGTGAGGGACCACAGATCTGCCCCCCAAAGATGTGTAGGAGACGGGGGGAGCGCCAAGTCCCAGAGATCCAGGCGCTGCCCCAGAACACAGGAACCCCAAGGAGACAGCAACCTGAAAGGCCCCCGCCCCCCTCGAGAGGCACAGAGGATCGCCCCGGGGGGCCACAACCAGCAGCCGGCAGAGTCCCGGGAGATATCAGCGGCAAGCCCACAGACCCGCCCGCAGCCTCCCACCCCCTAGCCGGCCAAGCCCGGGACACAGGGGCGACCACCCCCGCCGGGGACCCAGCAGAGCCCAGGGACCCAGACCCCACCAGGCAGCCACCGGGATTGATCAAGCAGACGCCAAAAATCTTAAACCCCCTGACCCGGGAGCCACGAACACTCAGGCAGACCAAGGCACCACACCCCACACCAGGTGTGGCAGGGGGAGAGGAGACAAAAATCTATATCATCAAAGGAAGTCCCAGGAGAGGGGAGGAGTCAAAGGCCCCACCTGACATATACAGTCATACACACAGTCACACACTCCCTCCCTCATATATGCACATACAACCAAAGACAAAAATGCACGCCATTTCAAGGACTCAGCCAGAGTATCGGCTTTGCAGTGCAATGTGTTTCACTGAGACGTGGCTGCAGGATTCCTGACTGTACGAGCAGACAGAGATCTGAAGAGGAGCAGGAAAAGAAAAGGAGTGGAGTGGCAGTGCTTGTCAGCAACAGAACGTGCCATCCAGGTCAGGTTTCAGTGAAATGTCGTCTCTGCAGCCCAGATGTTGAACTCTTGGCAGTAAGCTGTCACCCATATTATTTGCCAAGAAAGTTCACCAGTGTTGTCTTGGCAACCGTTTATATTCCACCTTCAGCCATTGCTGAAAATGCATGTGATGCCATCAGTTACATTGTTGCTAAGCTACAAACCCAGCACCTCAATGCATTTGTGGCTATATCTGGTGATTTTAATCATGCCTCACTCTCTGCTACACTTCTAACATTTCAGCAGTTTGTCAGCTGCTCCACCAGAGAAAACAAGACATTGGATTTGAATCATGCAAATGTAAAGAATGCATACATGTCCAAAACTAGACCTCCTCTTGGATAATCCGATCACAATCTTGTTTTTCTCCGCTCAGAATACAAACCACTTGTTCAGAGGCAACCTGTGACAAGAAGAACTGTTAGAAAATGGTCACAGGACGCTGAAGAAGCCCTGCAGAGTTGTTTTGAGACCACAGATTGGATGACTCTCTGCCAATGATATGAAGAGGACATCAATGCCATGACTGGAT